CTGGAGTCCATTCTGACCCACAGCGCCCCTAGAGGACAGAGTGGAACTGCCCACAGGGTCTCCAAGGCTGTCAGTCTTCAGGGAAGCAAAGCCCAGACCACATCCCCTGATTCAGACACACAGCGCCCCTAGAGGACAGAGAGGAACTGCTCCAGAGGGTCTCCAAGGCTGTCAGTCTTCACGGAAATGGACTCCCTCATCCTTCTGTGGAGCAGCTGGTGGGTTCGAAGCACAGACCTTCTGGGTAGCAGCCCAATGCTCTAACCTCTGTGCTACCAGAGTGCCTCTTTGACAATTGGAAAGGGGGCCCCAGTCCCCCATCAGTGGGCCGATTTGCATGCCCTGTTGTGGTCCAGTGGCCTCCCCTCAGTGCCTCACAGCACCTGGAGCAGGGCCCAGCAGAACAATGCCTGCCTGTTCCCTGTCTCTGCCCATGGCCACCCGATGCCTGGTCCTCCTCACCGGGGCCCTCCTGGCAGGTGAGCACTGGGGGGCCTGGCTCACCTAGGGGGTGGGGTGAGGGCCAGGAGTGTCTGCAGAAAGTCCCTGCAGGGTAGTGGATGGATTAGGGCAGTGAGGGTGGTGCTGGGTGCTAGGACGGGAGACCTGGCTCCTGGAGGCTGTGCCCTGAGCTGGGGCAAGTCAGGGCCTCAGTTTCCCCACTCTTGAATGACCAGATCATTAGACTTCCTTTGGGTCTGACCCTCCAGGGTCTCAGCTCTTTACAGGGCAAGCTGGTCTCTACCCCACATGGCCTCAGAGGCAACCAAACCTCAGGAAGGTCCCCAATGGCCAGTTGCCTGACAGTTCCTAGGGTGGTTAATTTGTAGCCAGGGTTTGAAAGAGCCAATGTGACCGAGAGGAAAGGGTTCTGCAGGGCAAAGGGGGGTGGGCAGGGGAGTTCTAGGTCCTCAGCCAAACGTGGATCCTTGGCCATGGCGCTAATGGGGAGTTGCCCATTCTAAACACCTTGCCCAAGGTTATGCAGAGAGCGTGTGAGAGGTTATACAGAAGTGGGCCCTCCCAGGGTTCATCCCACAGCAGGGGCTCACTGGGGCAGCAAGGGGCCCGGGCTGGGCCTGAACCAGGAGGTCTCTCTCAGCCTCCCAGCCGGACGCACTGCTGGTCTTCCCGGGCCAGGTGGCCCAGCTCTCCTGCACGGTCAGCCCCCGCCCGGGTGCCATCTGGGACTACGGAGTGTCCTGGTACCAGCAGCGGGCAGGGAGCGCCCCGCGGTACCTTCTGTACTACCGCTCTGAGGACGACCAGCACCGGCCTGCTGACATCCCTGCCCGCTTCTCGGCAGCCAGGGACACGGCCAGCGACGCGTGCATCCTGACCATCAGCCCCGTGCAGCCGGAAGACGATGCGGATTACTACTGCTGCGTGGGCTACGGTTCCAGACCCTAGGGATGCGGCGGGGAGGCGTGTCCTGCTCCGGCCCTTCCGGGGCCTTGGGCCCGCCCCTAGCTTCTCTGACCCTTGCTTTGCATCCTTTGTTGTAACAATATTGAACAGGTCAACCGCAGCTATTGTGAGCATGAAGTCCCGAGCTGAGACAGTGGTCAGACTGGGTTCTTTGTGTGTGTGTGTGTGTGTGGGTGTCCGGACGTGTGGGGGAATCGTTGTGGAAAAAGAAGAACCAGAGACTCTTGACGTGGGCAAAGCCTCCGCCTGGCTCCCAGGGGGGTTCAGACTGGTGGCCTGGCCTCCCGGTGACCTGAGGAGCCGTAGGGTGAAAGAGAGGAAACGGCCCGCACCACACCCATCTCTGCATGGCTGGCTGTGGTCCAACGCTCGGCGGTCCCCACGGAGCCCAGGCTGGCGCGGAGGCGAGCAGCACCCCTCCCTACTCCTTGGGGGTCGCCGTCCAAGTCAGACTCAGCTTTGAAAGGGCAGGAAGCAGGTGTGAGTGGGGGCGGGGGCTAGAGGCCCTGAGGGGCTGTGGGGGGAGGGAAAGCAGAGGCCCCCTCCCAGTCCCGGTGGAGAGTCCCCCAACCTCATCCCAGGAGACACAGCCCTAGTTGGCCAAGCGGGGGCACTGGGTGGAGGAACACGTCTTGCTATCGGACGCAAAGGTCTGGGAGTGGGGTGATGGGGAGGGAGGGTTCAGGAACACACCTTTCTTTCTTGTTCCCCGTATAAAGGCCTCAAGTCAGGACCTCGGCTACCACGGCATGTTATGGGTGGGGGGATGGTTCAGGTCTCGGGAGGCTCCACCTACATTCTCAGCCACCTCCTGGCCCCACCCCCCGGGCCTGAGTCTTGGGGGCAGGGCGGGCAGAGATAGGCGCTGTGTCTGTGCAAGTGACACACTTCTGCTCCCCATCCTCCTGAAGACCCCAGATGCCTCGTGGTCGCTGGCACCCTGCCGCCTCGGTTTCTTCCCCTGCATCTTGGGATAAGC